TTCAGAAAGTTTTATATTTTCATTAGATAAGGATAAAGCAGAGAAAAACATAGTGAGTCCAGTTGTTGATAATAATCGTGCTATTGGCGAATATTGGAATCACTATCCTTATTTTGGAGATTTATTCTTTGGTAACCTCGTTGGTACCGATCCTTTTGCTGAAAAGGATTCATATCAAACAGCAATAAGACCTGATTCAAATAGATTTAAATGGACAGACTGGGAAGTATTTTCAATTTCTATGTAAAGATATTATTTATGAATGATGGTTGGGAAACTATTAAAGTTATGCACATAGAAAATGTTTGTAGTATGCTGTGTAGTATTAACGATTACAACTACTAGCAAAGAGACATTCAAAAAATAAAATTTAAACTTTAACTACTAACATAATCATTACTATTCAATTTGAATACAATTGATGCTTGCAAACTTTCATAATGTTGCACTACGGCGGGGCCGGTTGACGCAGTCAACCGAGCACATGAAACTTACTTAGTTATACGTTGAAGGTTTGTATATCGTGCCGGTTTTTTTGCCAGATAGTTGGAATGTCTAACTGTAGATATGACCAAAGCGGCAATAATGCATGATTGATTGAAGACACATTCATTGATGAGTGTTTAGTTACATATTACTGTATTATAAGCAAAAGTTATAGGTAACATCTATTCTACTACACATAATAATGTCTGATCGATTAAAATCAATTCCATTATTAAATATCTCGAATAGAACTTTTTCTGTTACTGAATTTCTGTAATGCTCTCCGCCACCGCATTGGTATTAATTATGTACGTTAACTGCCCATAATTTAACACCTTTAATTCGGTTTCCAGTAATATTAATTCAAAAATTTAGAGTTGGAATCGTTTTTCGATATTGTATTCCTTTCTCTTAATCGAACGATATATATTGTAAGAAAATAAGTATATATTTTTACATGCGTATATTTATAAATATGACAAACTTTCGTTAAACATAACATTATATTGCAAACAGTATATTAGCTACTGTGGATTGGATTAAAAAAAATAGTTAAGTAAAATGCGGGACAGGTAATTGGTAGCTGGAAATGTCCTGAATATTTGATCTGTCGCTGGGTGAAATTTGTGGTAGGACAGCATCGACTTTACTAGTAGTGTTATTATTATTGCTTTTCCGCAACTTTTCCAATAGTTTACTAAGTTTGTTCGAGTATTCATTATTGTTCGAATCTTCCAAGTATGTTGAATCAACTACATATTCTTTGAGAAACAATTCCAGTGAGTCTAGTTGTTGACTCAATGCGGGTTGCTGAAGTAATAAATCATTTGATGAAGTCGACGAGTCCGGTGATAATGAACTACTCAATGGTCTGGAAGATTTCAATGGCATTGTTGGGAATGATTCACGAAGCAGCGAACGAGTTTTTCGAGCACAACAGCAATGGATGCAACCCCACGGCTTTAGGGTGTCATTACCTACAAAGATAATAGCATTGTATTAAAATATCTATATTGAATCTGAATAAGTACAAATTTTACAAATATGTATCAACACATACCAAATAGAATAGCATAAACTGTTAGAGACCCCGTCCATGCGCCACCAAGTAGACCAAGCGCGTTAAGAATCTATTAAATAAAAGGTTAAATGTGAAAAGTTAATTAACACATAAAATTAAAACTTTAC